TAGAGCGCTAGCCTTGAGCTGAAGAGCTGAGGGACAGTGCCCAGGCCCAGAGTTCAGGCCCCACGACCGGACCCAAAAAAAAAAAGCCACTTTTTCCTCTCATTTTGTTATCCTAGAAATAATATTAAAGGAGGTTTTCTTTTTTCTCCTAGTTGTTTTGAGATAGTTAAAAGTGACAAAGAATCCAAGATGTGCATTTTCATACGTATGTTATAAGAAAGGGATACACTTGGTCCCTAGGCCACCATGTCAGAAATCTCAGGCTGCTGAAGTTACTAGAAGAGACAATCAAAGAGATGCAGGCCAATGGAGTTGAAGGCCAATGGGAAGAAAAGCATTGTAGGACTGAGAATAGCTAAGAAATTTAGTTAAAAGGGCAGAGAAGGGACAGGGGAGTTTAAAGATGTGTTGCCAGCTTTCTCATATATTTTGTCCTTGACATTTTCTGATGAGACTGCAGTAGATTTTTTAATTGTTATCTATTTATACTTTGAATAGTAATCTAGGCTGAAATTCGTCACTAAGAGGTCTGGGTACAGTCTTCTTACACTGTGTCACAGTCCAGATCATGTACTTTGTTGGGGAGACAACTACAAAAACATTTACCCAGTAGCTCTTTGGTTGTTTGATGGGCAGTAGTTTGGCAGCATAACCAGGGAGGTAAAGTGGTTCTGAAAACTCAAACCCTTCTTCAGGCCTTGTGACTTTGCCGATTAGCAACCCCAATAGAAGTGCTGATGCAGGGGACTACTCAGTGTCTCTCATAGATTATCTTCAGCGGCATTGTTCCTGTGTTTCCTTCTAAGTATTGTCAGGACTGGAAACCAGAAATGAACCTGAAAAGGAGAGAATGAACAAATTAGTTCAAATGAATCTTACATAAACATTTCACCGTGGAGTTGCTAGTATTAGGGAAAACTGCAAAGACTTTGAAAAGAACAAAAATGCATATCCTTGAGGTTCTTCTCCAACTCTTGTTGGCTATGAAATAGTTTCCAGTTCTGTAAGTTGTCAAAAGCTGATAGGCATGATGCAAATGATTTTTGTTCCTGATATGCAAATAAATTTCACCCTGTACAGAGTGACTGATTCTCCCATCCATGCTTGAGGAAGGATCCAGCTTGCTATTTATTAAATAGATTTATTTTGATAACCCTTATAACCTGTATTTGTGTGTGCTTTGAATTATTCATTGAATGGGTTGCAAATTCTTACTTATCGTTCATTAAATGAAATGTAAAATAAAATATTTCTTGTTTTTGGGGGGGGTCCGGTAGTGGGACCTGAACTCTGGGCCTGGGCGCTGTCCCTCAGCTCTTCAGCTCAAGGTTAGCACTCTACCACTTGAGCCACAGCACCACTTCCGGCTTTTTTCTTTTTGCTTATGTGGTGCTGAGGGAATCAAACCCAAGGCCTCAGGCATGCAAGGCAAGCGCTCTACCACTGAGCCACCTTCCCAGCCCTAAAATAAAATATTTCATGTGGACATTTTATAAATGTATGTAAGAAATCAAGTTTTTGTATTTTATATATAGGTAGACATAAATATATTTGTATACACACAAATGAACATATATATGTATGTACACATATACCACTGGAGAATGAGTAAATCCCTTGAAATTTGTTATGTTGTAGATATTTTCTTTAGGCTTGACATGAAAAAGTTACTGGGTATTGTCCTTTAATAGTAAAATGAGAGCATCTTCTCAATAACTCTCAGCAGTTTAAAAGAATATACTTACTTGAAACCAACACTTTGAAGAATAGTTTGTAGAGTCCTATGGACCAGTATCCAAATCACAGTACTAAGAACCCTAGCCATCAACATTTGTAATTTCTTCCCAATGTCCTATGGACCGCTGAGCTATAAGTCCTGATGTAAAGTTGAAGTGTCCTGTGAAGCCCTCTTTCCCTTTGCCTTTCAAACCCAAGGTTAGCTTAATCAGAGGTGATAGCCCTCATCTTGACCTTACCTTTTTAAAATAGAGAGTCAGTTTCCTTTTGACTCCTCCTAGTGGCTGCTTTGATCTTCTCTTCAGTAACTTAGCATGTAAGTATTGGATGCGTTCCCTTTCCACACTGGGGTAGAAAGAGGCTGAAACCAAGACTTTAAGTTGCATCAGGATGGAGGACAACAGTCCCAGCAGTACCAATGTCACAAGAATGATGCTCAGAGGAAGCCAAGTCTTAGACAGAAGGAGCCTTGGTTTAGGGATGCAACTTGGTTCAAACACAGATATATTGAAAGAAGAACCATGGAGGGGGTCTTGAGTTCCTTGCTTCTAAAATGAGAGAGTAAAATGAATATCTATGTCATTTTCCATGCAGTTTCTGTCTTTCTCAATAGTTCTTTTACACAACCTGGCATTTACCTTCAGATATGCAGGAAACCTTGACTAAAGAAATTTTTTGCTTCTTTTTTTGGGGGCGGGGTTGGGGGAGGAGGTGCTTCATGATTGTGGCAAAAGTAAAAGGATGAGTCTCATCCCATGCCAATGTTCTCCACAACGGGTTTGTGGAGACATAGGATCCATTGACAGAAGTGTATCAGATACGTTTGTTGAGGATGTGAGGGCGATCTGGCTGCGACATCTGTCACCCCATTGATCTCCAGGGTTGATTCGGCTGATCTGGATGGCTAGGTGGGTGTCCCCTTCCTCCCACACCGCTCCATGAGTGTCCTTCCCCACGCTGTGCGCTCGGTCGAAGAGGACGACCATCCCCTATAGAGGAGGACCAGTATACGAGTAGCTGTGCTCCCCTGCTAGAACCTCCAAACAAGCTCTCAAGATATGTTTGCTGAAAACTCTGAGAAGGCAGAGAAATCTGATTAGCCTAACAATTGTGGCTGCAGAACCCATTTTCATGGAATATTTGTTTCTATATTTAGGGTGCAGAGAGCTAATGACAAGAGTCAGCCCAACTGGGACAGAGACTTAGCTGGTCATCTAGCCCCTTAAGATACATATCTCTCAAGTCAGGGCAAACTTCCCCTCAGCAGACCACAAGGTCACAAAAGTGTTGAGGCACTAAGCCATGTTTTAAACCAACCACCTAGAGCTTTGGAAGATACTCTTCTTATCTAGTGTACCATATGGCTCTTTAGATTTGATATGCTAACCCTCATATCCACTTTGCCAAGACTAAAATCCTGTGTAAGGTGGCTTTTACAATCGAGTATGGGAAGGGGGAGGCCCAAGCTACGTGGGAGGCAGAGCAGGAGGATTGGAGTTAAGGCTGGCCAAGGCCAAAGTACAAGACCCTCACTGAAAAGACAAACTAAGAGCAAAAGATTTGAGTGTATGTTTCAAGAAGTCATCCAGTTACCTAGCAAACACAGACCGAGTTCAGTTTCTAGGACTGAAGAAATAAGAAAAGAACATTTTCCCATTTCTCTTGGATGTTCAGAAGGGTACAACCATTTCCATTTGAAGACAAGAGAAAAAAAAAAACCTAATTACCCTCCACAGAGGGCAGAAGATGACATTGAGCCACCCAGTCCTGCCACCCATAAGAGCAGTGTTTGCTGATTCAGCTCTTTCTTTCCCCTGACCTGGGAAAGTCATTTAATCTCTCAGTGGATTTGTTTTCTAATTTGGTAAAGCAGGAATTAATGGACCAGATCCTGCCCATGAATAAACTACTCCCAGTGTAAATTAAACACCTTGGGGATGGAGCATTAACCTTACAGACTGGAATACTTAGTAAGTTATTATCACCCTAGTGCCACAGGGCCCAGGGGCTAGGCAGAAGTAAAGGACTTCTCCAAAACAAACAAACAAACAACAAAACTGCATCCAGGACCCAGACCCACTACCAAGCATCAAATCACATCTGTGCCAGAGCAGTGAGAAACAGTTGTGTTATGTCTTTTCTTCTCTTATTAAAAAAGACAATCCATCTACAATTAAATGAAGATTTCAGTCCCCAGAGCAAAAGCATGCACTCTTTTTTAATACTATTGAAGAAACAAACACATCGATTGAGTCAGTGATGAGCAATTCTGCAATAAGAAAGCGGCGGGTGTTCAGTCTGGGAAGAAGTTTATTTGGTCTCGAAATCTAACTGGGGAATTTGCAGTTGGGAGTCAGAGCTTCAGAAAGATTGAGTCAACATTTTCCGTATGGGACTGGGTGATGGTAATGTGGAAGACAAATTCACTCTCTCATAATGCCAAGCAATATACCACATTGTACCCCTAGTGATTTAAAATACATTCACCTGTTAAGTAAATGATTTACTGAGACAATATTGAGTAACAGAGGGAGGGTAGGATCTGGTGTCAGATAGTCCCTGGAAAGGTAATGCAGTTAAGTACTGGACACCTTGGGAGGCTCTCAGTAAGTAGAAACTAGGGCTATTTTTACTTAACTGTGCCCACCAATATAGCCAGCTCCACTTGGATCGTTTCCCATCGTTTTTATGTAAAACATTGATCTAAAACTGTATGCAAGCGGGAGAGAAATATTGGCCAAACCTTGAGCCAATGTTTCTCTACCTGCTTGACTTCTCCTGTGCAAATCTGTGGCAACAGAGAAAGCCAGAAGCCTCCCAAGGGCACCCTGGGCTGAGGCAGAGCACTGTAAGTCACGTGGAAGGACACTGGCTGCTGGTGGCAGTCACCCAGGCACCACAATAGAGTTTAGGAGGCGATCCCACAAGTCTCAGACTCAAATCTAATGACTCCCCACCACCCTATGGCCAGTATGTGCACACAGGATGGCCTTCCCTGCAGATAAGCTCCCCACAATGGGGTTATTGCAGTCTGGACATCATTCCATCCCCAGTACCCTGCAGTACCCAGAGAGGGTGTGCCGGAAGTTGTCACAGGAAAGCTTTCAGCTTTTAGAAGAAAGCAGAACTGGCTTTTATTCCCCCAGTGGGTATTCAGAAAAGAAAAAAAAAGCATACATGAATAATAAGTATTGGATTCAAGACAAATAAATGACAGAGAAGCGATTTGAAAAGGACCAGGGAGAGTTGGCATGGAGACAAGAAAAGAGAAGATAGGAGGAGAATAAGGGGAAGGGTCCCCTGCCACCCCTAAGATCAAACATGCCTGGGATTCTTGTCCAGCTTCATTTGAAACACTGCTTCCATTATCCACCCTGCTCCAAATAACTAGAGCAACAGGATGCCTGTAATTGACTGAATTCTTCTGGGACAGCAGAGAGCTCAAAGTAATCAACGCTGAGAAGCAGCCCAGGATTAGGGAGGCAGGAGCTGGGGGACTGGATCTGCTGAGCCAGAAGCTAGTGGAGGAAAAACATGAAGGGAAGCAGGAGAATTTGAGGGCCTGAGAGAGAAAGAGAAATGGAGGCTGGTTTTCAAAGGAGTGCTTACTGACAACATGGCTACCGTTTTCTCTCTGATTTTGGCAGCAGCAGGATAAAGATCAGGGCAAATTACACACCCAGGTATAGCTGTTCTGTTTTCACCAGCCCAGGCAGTATACCTAGCCCTGATTTTTTTGTCACACATGAACACATATACATTTTGTGTGGTTCAACTTCATCATTATTGGAGTTTTAAAAACAAGAAAGGCAACTAGGTGACAGGTTCACCCCTGTAATTCTAGCTACTCAGGAGATTGAGATCTGAGGATCACGGTTCAAAGCCAGCTCTAGCAGGAAAGTCTATGAGACTCTTTTCTCCAATTAACCACCAAAAAGACAGAAGTAGAGGTGTTGCTCAAGTGGTAGAATACTAGCTATGAGTACAGGTTCAAGAACAATACCTTAAACCTGAGTTTAAGACCCAGAACTGGCACACACATAAAATAAAAAGAAAAGAAGAAAAAAGAAAGGCAAGTGTCTGACAGTATCCAGAGCCCCTGAAATGTCAACATAATCACAAATTTCCACAGGAAAAAATGGAAAAGGAAGGCTAACAGATGAGATGAGTAAAATCCTCAAGTCAACTCTGCTGCTACATGGCAGAAGCATCAAGCAAGCTAGATTCCTTAAGACACAGGGAGTACCCACTCAGAGAAAGACACTGTCTGGCTACTGAAGGTTTTCCATAGACGCATCTGATGATTTGTCTTTATTCTTTGGGTCATGTATTAGAACAGAGGTTCTCGGGGCTGAGAAGGTGGCTCAAGTGGTAGAGCGCTAGCCTTGAGCTGAACTGCTGAGGGATAGTGCCCAGGCCCACGACCAAAAAAAAAAAAAAAAAAGAATAGCGGTTCTCAATCCTCATTGCACAGTAGTGTTATTTCTAATACTCATCAACCACAATAAGGACAGAAAGAGTGTTCTCATTCAGCCAAGCTGCCAAGACCACAAAAGTCTGAGAGTGAGAGGAAATCAAGCCCCAAACCCCAGACTCATGCCAGACTCTACTTGAGAATAAAGTTGATGTTTAACAAGACATCCAGTCCTACATTTCAGTGCTGACTACAGAAAACTAAAAAACAGTTCCCTAAAAATATAAGACCCTAATCTGTTGCACTTGAGTTAGTTTATTTGGGAAAGGGGTTTCAATAGCTAGAATAAATAAAAGATCAAGAGAGGGGCTGGGAGAGAAATAATTCTACTGAGCCTTAATGTGACCACATGCATGGTTGAAGGACACAGAAAAAGATTTTTCCACATGTAGTGGTTATATGGAGATAAAAGTAGAGATAGGAGTGGTGCAGCCACAAGCCAGACCTCACCAGAAGCCAGAAGAGGCCAAGGAAATTCTCTCCTAGCATCTAAAAAGAACAGGCCCTTGCCAATAACACTTTGATTTCCACCCAATGATACTGATATTTCAGACTTAGACCCAGAACTATAACAGAATAAATTACTCCTTTAAGTTACCCAACTTGTGATCATTGGTTACATCGGTAATTGGAAACCAACACAGAATTATACTCTAACATCAGGATTTCAAGTCAATTCACATCTGTTGGGCTTCAGGCAATATGCCAAGTACCAGAGACCCAAAGGTGAATAAGACACTGCCTCAAGAGGCTCCAGATCTTTTAGAAGAACCACCAGCAAATAACCTCAATACAACATGAGAATTGCCTGAGAGCCCCTACCTCTCCTTGTAGTTTCAAGTGAATCTGAAGCCCCGGCAAACCTTGGAACTGTTTGCTCACTGAGAAAATGAGCTGATACAACAGATAATCCACGGCCGCAAACAGCACCCAGATGTAGAGATGGGCAAGGATTGGGAGAAGAAACAAACCCAAATTTCTCCTTTCTTTAGGAGATAGCCGTAAAGACGGAGTAACAACATATTTCTTCCTCTCCTTCTGGTTGAGTGGGAGGACTCTGGGTCTCTGCTGATCTCTCTCTGTTTCATCAAACTTAACAAATTGTCTGGTGATATAGATGTTTTCATACTTCCGACCACGAGGTCCCAGATAGCGCTTCATGAAAAGGCCGGTGCTGAGTGTAATTAGCAGAAGCCCAGCAAAGGTGAGTAGCTTCTGACCCAGGGAGGACCATATCTCTGTCATGGTTATCATGTGATACAAGGCACTCAGGACTTCCCCTTTAGTACTGTTTAGCTGTGCCTCCAGAGCCTGAATTGGACTGTAAAGAGAGACCACCAGGGTCTGGTTCCAAGAAACAAGGTCATCAAAGAGATTCAGCGGCGTGGCAAGTCCGTACACCCACTGAATGGCTTCGATGTATTTTTTCAGAAGTGGAAAATGAATAGTAAAGTTCTTTGCCCTTAGGTTGCATGTCATACATTCCAAGAGACCTTTAAAGTTGTGAAAAATATTTTCAACATGTCCAAAGATCACTATCCCCGTGCCAGCTGCCATCAAAGCATTCCTGCCTTCACGGAGGCCACAAGAGAGAAAAAGGAGAAGAATGAAACAGCGCGCATGCTTGGAGGAGCTCAGCAGAGCACACAGGATCACCCAGGCGGTGGAGAATGCTATAGCGGATGGCAGAAGCCAGTAGAAGGCCACAGAGAGGAGGCTCACTGAAATGAAAGCCATGAAGCAGCAGACCACCAGATGCTGGGTAAGGCCCATCCATCCTGGGCTTCTTGGAAGCACATAAATTTCCCAAAGATTTAGGAAGACATCAGTGGCTGAGGTCCAGGTGCCCATGTTCCCTTTTTCCCTAGAAATGAAAAAGAAACCAAGGTTAGGATGTGCTTCAGGCCCAGGTGGTAAACTGCAAAACGTGGTCATAAATCTTTACCTATCCCTCTGTCTTTCCCCCTTCCAGGAGGATTTCACAGATTTTTTTTTCCAATCAAGAGAGGAGAGAAATAGAATCTATCATGAGGTGGGAGGTGCTTTTCCGTTCCTTGAAGCTGAGTTGGCTGTGCACTGCTTGGGGCAATAGAATATGGCAGCCATGAGCATATGCCAGGCCTGAGGCTGTGACTCACTCCTACATGCTCTCCACTGCCATGTTAACAGCGTGTAACAAATTACTACCAACTCAGAGGGTCAAATAAATACTTATTTATTCTCACAATCCTGGAGTTCAAAAGTCTAAAATGGCCTCACGGGGCTGGGCTGTGCTCCTTCTGGGGACCATCCATTTGTTTCTTCTTTTGGGGGGGGAGTCCGGTTGTGGGGCCTGAATTCTGGGCCTGGGCGCTGTCCCTCAGCTATTCAGCTCAAGGCTGGCGCTCTACCACTTGAGCCACAGTACCACTTCCGGCTTTTTCTGCTTATGTGGTGCTGAGGAATCAAACCCAGGGCCTCATGCATGCAAGGCAAGCACTCTACCACTGAGCCACCTTCCCAGCCCTTCATTTGTTTCTTGCTCCCAGCCTTAAGATGAGGTCCACATTTTCTGGACCACAGACTCTCCTTCCTCTCTCTGAAAGCCAGCAGGTTTGCATCATTCCTTCTCTCTGACCTCTTCTTCTCTCCCTACCTCTTCACAATGCCACTGATGATTTGTTTCCCCCCTCAAGGGTCTTGGTGATTACTTTTGGGCCCACCCAGATAATCCAGGACAATCTTCTGATCTCCAAAGCGTTGATTTAATCACATCTGCAAAGTCATTCTTACCATGTAAGACAATAGATTCACAGGTTCTGAGAATTAGGGGCTGCACAGCTTTGGGGAATATTGGTCAGTCTCTCATACCAGGTGGGATTTCTGGTTCATGAACAACACATAACCAGTCAGTTCCACCAACTGAGCCAATGATCACCCAATTCCCAGGCTTGTGAGACAGGCTATCCTAGACCAGCCAGTCCCCAGATAGCCCACCAGCCGATCACAGACCATGAGGTCTAACAAATGTACCTGTCCTTTAGGATGTAATTGTTTGTTCACAAAGGCAACAATACTGTATCATGAGCACTAATAGTTGAAATAAACGTTAGGCTGATGGATAGGCTAAAATTTCAATAAACTGCATTATGTAAGAGTGTTCTTTAATAGTCATCTGTTTTCTTGTGCTCTAATTTTACAGACCAGAAAGCACACCAAGGGCATCCAAACTTAAATGTGGAATTGGATTGAGGCCATTGTATCTCTGCTCGGCCACCGTGACTTCTCTCTCCTCTGCCCTGCCTTGTCAGTGCAGTTCTATCGAGAAAATCTCACAGGGAAAGTAAGAATATTTTCATCCCTGAGGTGATCATCCTTTCCCTTTTCCCCACATCTGGAATAATTACAATGAAGGTGCTGTGAGGGTGCTGCTGCCCTGTTAGCCACACAGATTTCAGTCTGTGATGTACACGGAGAGATGAGTTCATCTGGAATATTATAAATCTGAGGGTTTTTTCCCCTCTCTTGATTGACATGGAAATGCCTAATGAGCATTATGCCATATGGACAGGATTTTAATGAGGACATTGATCAATTTTAAACAGTCTTAAATAAATCTCTTCTCACATCATACATAATGGAGCTGGATGTATGAAACGGCTTAGTACTGTTTGAAGCAGTGAGTTTTATCATCCTGTGAGAGATGTATCTGAGTGTTGGCTAAAGAGCATGAACTGCACAACCTGAGGTGAAAAGAAGTCATTCTCTTCCTGTGTTCAGGGCAAGTGAGGTTAATGAAAGGTAGAAGAAATAAGACGGGGGGGGGGCGGGGGATAAGGAAGTGAGGAACAAACATGTAAGTCTCTCCAGCATGAGTAGAGAGGCTTATAAATATCTGGGCACATGATCCGAATGGAAATACTCACAGCAGAAAGATGTAGGGTCGTTGACATGTGGGACTGTCCTTAAATGAGACTAGGATCCCTTCACCAGGTGCCTGTAGGGCATGCCTATAATCCTAGCTACTCAGGAGGCTGAGGTCTGAGGATCCCAGTTCGAAGCTAACCTAGGCAGGAAAGTCTGTGAGACTCTTATCTTCAATTAATCAGCAAAGCAAGAAGTGGAGCTGCATTGGGATTGGGGGGGGGGAGGGGGGAGGCTGGGAAGGGATGTGAAGGGTAAACACAGGAGGAGGATGGTAAGAAATGTACGCATTATCCTGCCCATGTAATTGTAACTCCTCTGTACAGTATGTTCACAAATAAAAATTAAATTAAAAAAAAAGAAAAAGCAAAAAAAAAAAAAAAGAAGTGGAGCTGCGGTAAAACGCTAGCCTTGAGCAAAGGGACAATGCCTTGAGCTCAAGTCCCACCACTGGTGCTGAGAGAGAGACAGAGACAGAGACAGAGAGACAGAGCCATGGACAGGGAGAGACAGTGAGACTAGAATCCCACAAGGGAGTTTGTTATTCCCTTGGCAGGAAAGAGAACCAGAAAGGTCATGAGATTGGAGACCAGCAAAAGGTCACAGTTCTTTCCTTCTACAAGCTTGCTTCCTTTCTACATCAAGATCAGGTTGGATGGAGGATAGACAGTGCTCATGCACAGGCCCCAAGAAACAGAGAGCGGGCCACGGCCTTCTCCCCTACTGCTGACCGTACCACCCAGTGTGACTGCCAGGGCTTGGCAGGCAGGAAGGCAGGCAATGGGCAGGCACTCGGGTTCCAGAGGTAAGGAGCTGCAACCTCTCCTGCCAGTTACTCCCCATGCATTCTCTCTGCCCTTTGGAGTAAGTGCAAGGTTTGGAATTTGATCCCCAGACATTATTAGACTAGCTAGTAGTATACTAACGGGCATTAATTGCCTAGTATGTTGTGGACACTTTTCCTAAAGTGTTCACAACCCCTGCTCCAAACCCATGGAAATCAGAGTTCTGTACACGTGGAAGCCGAAGCTCCAAGCTCATATTGACATTGGCCAGTGATCACCATATCCTGTGAAGGACAGAGGAATGGTACCCTCTGACTCCCAGGAAGAGCCTCTGCCCTCCCCCTGCCCAGATTTCATTACTCTGGGGTAGGTGACTGGATGTTCAGCTTGCTAGAAACACATCGTGCTTTCTGCCTAAAGCTGTTCAAGGGCTGACCCCAGTCTTACCAGCCCATTTCCACTGTAGGCTCAGTGTTTGGAAATTTTCATCCTCCAGCATCGAACTAGTTAAACCTGTAGTGATCCTACGTCTTCAATCAGCCAGGTTCTTTTCTAATCAAATCAGAAAGTCCAGCTGTTTTATTGTTAGCTAATTTCCTTCTTGAGTCCCCATTTTGCTTGCTTGCTAAAATATTAATAATGCATAATGCTGGGCTTCTCACCCCCTCCCTCGACTTTCTATCCTTGTACAATGTGTTCTTAATACAGACATTTCTCTCAAAGTATGAAACAGATTTATGGACACATTAAAATTTTAGCATTCTGCAATAAAATCTAATATCAATTAAAATAAGATCTATGACTGCAATTTTGTCCTGAGAGGCACATGTTTGCTCAACAAGCAACATTTCTAACCTTATCCTCCTTGATTTTTGTGCTGAAAACAGCACAGCACCCAAAGGTAGCAAATCTCTACACAGCAAGAGGACCTAATACGGTCTTTCCTATTCTATGGTTCAAGAGTAGTTAGGGCTTCAACCACAAGCATGTCTTCTGTCACCATCAAGTGTGGCCTTCATTTCCAGCTGCTATCTGTTCTTCATTTTTCCTGTGTGGATGTAGGCCTCACCTGCTCCTTCCTGGTAAGACTTAAGAAGGAAAGTGACAAGCACTTTGTGCTCCCTGGAGTAAGGTACCCAGCTCATGCAACCCACTTCTCAGGGATTTTGCTGCCACATAAAATTGCGAACTTCTGTTCTCTGATCTTGAGGTCAAGATTGAATGCTCAAGTTAATGAGAGGCAGAGCAGGGTTCCAGAAGCTAGAAAACACTGCAACACTACCCACAGTACCTAGAAATAGGGCTTTATTTCTTTCTCTTTGCTCCTGTGAAAGGAGGATCATTCTGCTGATCTTTCTTCAAATAACCCCAATGCTGTCCTTTCAGACAAAATCTGTGAATCAAAATTTTGACAAGCTACATGGCTTGTTTCATTTTTGCAGGTTCTCTTATGTTTCTTACATTTTATTTTTCATAGCTGGAGGCAATCACATAGATGAGGATGTCTCAGACACGGGTCTGTATTCTCTAGGGCAGTCCTGCGAGGGTGGAGGTTTTAACCCAGAATGCTTTTTGTTTTTTTTTTCCTGTTTTTGTTTTAAATTTTATTTTTTTATTTTGCTGGTCGTGGGGCCTGAACTCTGGGCCTGGGCGCTGTCCCTCAGCTCTTCAGCTCAAGACTAGCGCTCTACCACTTGAGCCACAGCGCCACTTCCGACTTTTTTTTCCCTGCTTATGTGGTGCTGAGGAATGGAACCCAGGCCTCATGCATGCTAGGCAAGCGCTCTACCACTGAGCTACCTCAGTGGTAGTTCTACAGGTTAAAAGATTCAGGCCAAGGTCCCACTGGGCCAGGGTTATGGTGAAGGCTATCTTCTGGCTTACAGCCAGCCTCCTTCTCTGTTTTCACATGGCATAGCAGAAAGACAAGGAGAATGAGCTCTCTGGTGTCCTTCTCAACCACCTCCTCTTCCTCCGCCTCTTCCTCCTCTTCCTCCTCCTCCTCTTCCTCCTTTTTCTTTTCCTCTTCCTCCTCCTCTTCCGCCTCTTCCTCCTTCTTCCGTCTTCTCTCATGCTATCGTGTCTTTAAATATGACTACCTTTCCAATATGTCACCTAGAGATCATTTCACCCATTGTCTGGCCACCAAACTTGCCTTCTCCC